TCTCAGAAATTAAATTATATTCAGGAATTTCTATAAAATTCATTTGTAAAATTTAATTATTTTCATAAATAACAATACTCATCGCAAGAATTCAATTATTTTCAAAAATAATAAAATTTTTACAGGGTTTCAATTATTTTCGTAAATAATAAATTTTTTTTTCCGAATTCAATTATTTTCATGCGAATAATAAAACTCATTGCAGAATTTCAATTTTCTTTAATGAAATTTTAATCCAATTTTCTCGAAAAATCGTATTTATTCTTAAAAATTTTATTAAAATTCGTCAAAAGAATTCATTCATTTAAAAATTGATTCGTAAAATTCTTTATGAGAATTCAATTATTTAAGAAACATGCAATTATTTTTAATACAATTTTAAATCGAGTTTCTTTAAAAATATAATTATTCTTACAAATCGTATTTAAAAATTCGTCGATAGAATTAAAGTATTTATAAATTTCTTGATATAATTCTTTATGGGGATTGAATTTTAAGAAATATTTAATTGTTCAATAAATTATTTATTTGCATTTTATTTGTATTTAAATAATTGAATAATTTTGAAAAAGTTTCAAATTAGAATTAATTTTTAAACTAGTTTCATTTTTTTTTTTATTTATTTTTTTTTTTTTTTTTAATATTATTTTAAACAATTTTTTTTCAATTGAATATTAAAAGCAATATCGGTAATTTTTAGCATAATGTAAAAAAAAGGGGTAAATAGTAGATTTTAGTAGAAAAATACGAATCGTATGTTGGGGTAAAAGAGTAAAGACGTAAAAGGGTTAAGGGGGTAAAGAAGTACGGGGGCAAAAAGTAACGGGGGAAGAAAGAAAGTAAATGGGGTAAAAGAGTAAAAAGGGGGAAAAGGAGAAAAAGGTGGAAAAGAGTAAAAAAAAGGGGGGAGAAAAAGGGGGAAAAGAGTAAAAAAGGGGGGGGGGAGAAAAAGGGGAAAAACACATGAGCGTTGAAGTGTGAAAAAAATATTTCTAAAAAGAAATATCTAGATATCTTGACCAAAAAAAAAAAAAAAATGTACCTCTTACTCACCGCAACAATGACTTGTAGCATTTCCCGAATAGAAGTAATATTGCCGTTGACGTCTATGGTCTCATTGTTGGTGAGAGAGAAAAAAGAGAGTACTTCTATCACCCCTTATACCCCAATCTTCTACTCTAGCATTATGCCACAAACACTAGTTCCTTTCGGATATAAAAACACAAAAACACACACACACACCAATTCGTTGTCCCTTCTCGAAAATTCAAATGGTCTAAAAGACCACCCCCCCCCTCCCCACCCTTCCTTCCTTCCTTCCTTCTTTGCCTGCCACGCTTCTCGAGATATTTTTAATAATATTGAAAATGGAACTCTGGCTCGTTGCCTGACGTTCCACATTCTTCCACTAGGATTTTACGATTCTCGATTTTCTCTATACGTCAAACAAACAAAATCTTTTTCCCTTTTGTCCTTGCATTATATATGTGTTTGCATATATATATATATATATATATATATTCAAACAAATCTTTATATTTATTTAGTTTTATATGAATATAAAATTAATAAAAATAATAAAACTAATAAAATTAATAAAATTAATACAAATAATAAAATTAATAAAATTAAAAAAACTAATAAAATTACTAAATTACTAAAATTACTAAGGTTAATAAAATTAATAAAATTAATAAAATTAATAAAAATAATAAAAATAATAAAATTAAAAAAACTAATAAAATTACTAAATTACTAAAATTACTAAGGTTAATAAAATTAATAAAATTAATAAAAATAATAAAAATAATAAAAATAATAAAATTACTAAATTACTTAAATTACTAAAGTTAATAAAATTAATAAAATTAATAAAAATAATAAAATTAATAAAATTACTAAATTACTAAAATTACTAAAGTTAATAAAATTAATAAAATTAATAATATTAATAAAATTAATAAAAATAATAAAATTAATAAAATTACTAAATTACTAAAATTACTAAAGTTAATAAAATTAATAAAATTAATAATATTAATAAAATTAATAAAATTGACTATAATAATTTAAATGTTCCTTCATTCATTCACTTTTTCTGTCCCTCACACTCTGAAGCCGTCGTTTGTTTATTTTATACTTTTGTATTTTTTTTGTTAACTTTAAATAGATTGTATATTACATACAAAATTTTTTATTTTCAAATATAAATTTTTTAAATAATTTCATGATAAAAATTTAAAAAATTCACTTATAAGTACAAAATTAATTATTAATTCAATTTATTGAATTCATATTTGTTTATAATTTCAAAAATTTTTAATAAAATTTCACGAAAGAAGTTTTTTATTATTTTCTAAAAATTTTAATAAATCCTACAATTATTTTATTAAAAAGTAAAATCTTTACAAAAATTCAATTAATTGAAAAACAATTTTAAATTGAATTTCTTTTTCTTTAAATTTTTTTTTTTTTTTAATTTAATTAAAAATTTTTGTTTTAAGGGCATTTGAACCTTGATGACGTCACACATGCTTTGCACAATCTGTAACGTCATCAAGGTTCAAATGCCCTTAATTTTTAATTTTTTTTTTAAATTTTGAAAACAATTAATTTTTTTCCTAAAAATTTTAATAAAATTCTTAGCAACTATTCAATTATTTTCATAAATAATCAAATTCATCGCAGGATTTCAATAATTTTTAATACAATTTTACAGAAAATGTAATTATTCTTTAAATTTTTAATTTCAATTCTTTAAAATGATCAATTATTTAAAAAAATGTTTTTTAAAAACTTTTTTTTTAAATTCAATTAATTTAAAAAAAAAGTATTAAAAATTTGTACACAAGTGCAATTAATTTCGAAACTTAAAAAAGAAAATTTCACCATAATTCAATTATTTTCAGAAATATTAAAAATCTTCTTAGAAATTCAATTATTTTTGAAAATTTTATTTAAATTCTTATGAAGAATTCAAATATTTTCAAAAATAAGAAAATTCTTCTCAGAAATTCAATTATTTTTGAAAATTTTAATAAAATTCATCAAAAGAATTCAATTATTTTTAGAAATTGTAAAAAAAATTCAATTATTTTTAAAAATAACAAAATTTTTCTCAGAAATTCAATTATTTTTGAAAATTTTAATAAAATTCTTTGCAATTATTCAATTATTTTTATGAATAATAAAATACATTGCAGGAATTCAATTATTTTCAAATATTCTAATAAAATTGTTCGAAAGAAATCAATTATTTTAAATACAATTTCAATTAAATATTGTTGCAATAATTCAATTATTCTTATAGCTTTTAATAAAATTCTTCCTGAGAATTCAATTATTTTCATAAATAATTCTTTGAAAGAATTCAATTATTTCGAAAAATAACAAAAGTATTCCTGAAATTTCAATTATTTAAAATAAAATTTTCATAATATTTATTATATTTCTATAAAAATTAATTATTTAAAACAATGTTAAGAAAATTCTTATGAAGAATTCAATTATTTTCAAAAATAACAAAATTTTTCACAGTAATTCAATTCTTTTTAAACATTTTAATAAATATTTCCTCAATAATTCAATTACTTTCATAAATAATAAAATTTATCGCAGGATTTCAATTATTTTTCATACAATTTTACAGAAAATTTAATTTTATTCTTTAAAATTTAATTTCAATTCCTCAAAAAAAATCAATTATTTAAAAAAATATTAAAATTTTGCACAGGAATTCAATTATTATCAAAAATTTAAAAAATACATTTTCGCCATAATTCAATTATTTTCATAAATAATAAAATTTTTTTTTAAGATTTAAATCATATTCAGGAATTTTTATAAAATGAATCTGTAAAATTTAATTATTTTCATAAATAACAATACTCATCACAAGAATTAAATTATTTTCTAAATTAATAAAATTCTTCGCAGATTTTCAATTATTTTCAAAAAATCTAAAAAAAAAATTGTTGTCAACATTTCAATTATCTTTATAGATAAATATTAAAATTCTTCTATAAAATTCAATTATTTTCATGAATTTCGAGATGAATTTTAATAAAATTTTTCGCAAAATTCAATTATTATCAAAAATTTAAAAAATACATTTTCGCCATAATTCAATTATTTTCATAAATAATAAAATTTTTTTTTAAGATTTAAATCATATTCAGGAATTTTTATAAAATGAATCTGTAAAATTTAATTATTTTCATAAATAACAATACTCATCACAAGAATTAAATTATTTTCTAAATTAATAAAATTCTTCGCAGATTTTCAATTATTTTCAAAAAATCTAAAAAAAAAATTGTTGTCAACATTTCAATTATCTTTATAGATAAATATTAAAATTCTTCTATAAAATTCAATTATTTTCATGAATTTCGAGATGAATTTTAATAAAATTTTTCGCAAAATTCAATTATTTTCAAAAGTAATATAATTCAATTTTTTTTTTCAAAAATTTTGAAATTATTTCATCGAAGAATTTTAATTATTTTTCTAAAATTTCAATTCGTTATCTAAAAGTATATATAGGTATACCGAAACAATGTGTATATTATTTAAAAATTTTCCTATTGTACGAAAATTTGTTAAATAAACTATCACACTTTGTATCGACAAATTTTTTTAAAAACGCCTTTCTTTAAAGGGGGGTAGTATTAATTTTCTTTTAAGGAGACGATGGAGGTGGAGGGGTTTCCACTGAATTTGAGTTTTAAAAAAAAAAAATTTTTTACAGTAAAAAAAAAGTTTCTAAGGCTTCATTATCGAAAAAAAATATCGAGTGCTTATTAAGACTTGTATTTTATAAAATAAAAATTTGAAGTAGAAATTATTTTTCTTTTATACTATAAAAAAGAATTCTATGAAAAAAACATCAAATTCATTTAGAAAAAAAAAAAAAAAAAAAAAAAAAAATTCAAAGAAATTTGAAGAAAAAAAAAGAGGGGGGGGGGGGGTAGTAAGCAGAAAAAAAACGAAGAACATACCATGGGTGTCAAATTTTCTAATGATGGTTTCAATAATAGTCGTCCTGGGTGCCACGTGACCTCTTCTAACAGGCATCTCAGGATATCAGGCCCAGACACTTGGGCCTCTTTCTTTCACTCTCACTTTCTCTTTTTTTCCCTTTTTCCTCTTCTTTCCCTTTTTTTCTCTCCGTTTCTTTCAACTATTCTTTTTTTTAATCACTAAGCACTAAACACACTCGCAATGAATCACGAGGGCATGGTATAAAAAGCACAGCACGAGTTGAGCACAGTAATTATATATTATTTATTTATGAAATATTTCGTCTCAAACACTAGGCTACAATTTTTAGTAGTTCTCTCAATTTTATAGGCCATTAAAAATTCCCAAACGAAAAACGAAAAAAATTTTTTTTTTCCAAAAAGAGTTTTATTTATTTATTTTTTTTTTGAAACAATTCACTTTTTCAACTTTGTTTTTCAATTTCCCGTCTTATTTTTTTATTTATAATTTTCCTTTTAAAGTGAGAAAACAAAACACGAAGAGAGAGAGAAAATTTTATCTACTTGTAATAATCAGCTTTTATCAAAAGCGTAGAGATAAAAATTCGTTGCGAAGATCGGACGATTATAAATCGATTTTCTAATAATCTAGTTTGTTATTAATTAATGTTGGTCAAAGTTTTCTGTTTGCTCTCGATTTTTTTTTTTTTTTTTTTTTTTTATGTTCTCGATCACTAACAAAGAGATTTATTTAAATTCTCAAGTAAAAAAGCGCAGAGTAGCTAATTTTTATGTATATTGTTCGATGAAAAAATTTCGCATCTTTTTTGCTAAATATGCGATATTTGATTATTTCTGTCCTTTCGTTAAATTAAATTTTTTTTTTATTTTTTTTTCTTTCTTTATTTAAGATATTTAAAATTTTATTTCCTTTTATTTTCTAGAAGCACTTCTACTCTCTTCCTTCGAGCCACGATTTATTTTCAGTTTTCTTTCATTAAAAAATGATGAAAGATCCATTATTATTACTAGTATTATTTATTGATTTATTATTGAGAATACTTATGTTTAGTGAAAATCGGAAAAATTAGTTTAGCAAAAGGAATTTTTTGGAAAATGTGGATAAATTTTGTCCTCTAGTCGATGTTTTCTGCTGATGATTATTTTCCACTTTTATTGCCGTTTTCCAGAGTGGAATTTTTGATTTTTGGATTATTCGGTGGTTTGCGAGGCACTCGGTCATTCGCCTCAGGAACATTTCCAAAAAAGGGGTTTTTTTTTCGTTCCCCTTCTTTTTTTTTCTTCGCAATTTTTTTTTTTTTTTTAATTCTTAAATTTGCTTAATTCTTTTTGACCTTTTGGAACTTTTCGCGGCTTTTCGTAACCTTCCGGAACCTTTTGGAACTATTCGCAAACTTTCTTAACCTTTCTGAACATTTCGCAAAATTTTTTTTTTAATTTTCTTAATTCTTTGTAACTTTTTTGAACCTTTCGCAGCCTTTCGTAACTTTCCGGTACCTTTTCGAACTATGCACACAATAATCTTTTAAAACCGTTCATTAATTTTTTTTTTTTTTAATTTTAAATTTCCTTAATTTTTTGTACCTTTTTGGAACCTTTCGCAGCTTTTCGTAACTTTCCGGTACCTTTTCGAACTATGCACACAATAATCTTTTAAAACCGTTCATTAAATTTTTTTTTTTTTTTTTTAAATTTTAAATTTCCTTAATTTTTTGTACCTTTTTGGAACCTTTCGCAGCGTTTCGTAACCTTTGGTACCTTTTCGAACTATGCACAAAATAATCTGTTGAAAACGTTCATTAAATTTTTTTTTTTTTTTTTTTTTTTTTTTAATTTAAATTTGTTTAACACTCGTAACCTTTTGGAACATTTCGCAGCTTTTCCGAACTGTTTGCAACTTTTAGTAAATTTATCGAACCCTTTTTCATCTGCTGGAGAAAAAATTTTTTTTTTTATTCGAAAATGTATTAAAAGTTTAGTGGGGCGAGAGGGGAGAAGAAGAGAGGCACTGACGAGGAAGCACTTCCTCTGGAAAAAGGCTTTTCTAAATACAAGGAGAAAAAAGGCACATTATAGCAGTCGAATTATTATTTTTCTTGGGTTTACTCTTCTATTTTTTTCTATCGTCTATTTTTATTTTATTTTCTCATACAAATTGACCGAAAAAACCTAAATTTTTTTCCCACAAAAACTGCTAAAATATCACAATTTCTTTTAAATCTCGTGTTTTTTTTTAATTCAAAACACGTGCGTCTTTTTTTTGCAAATTTTCTTCAATCTTTTTTTTTGTCTCTTCCAATGTTAAAAATTTCAAACCTTTCTGAAAATTTGGATCTTTATTCCTTTCTTTCGAAATGTTTTTGTATCTTCAACCTTTTATTCCTGTTTCGGAATTTTTTCTTCCAAAAAGAAATCTTCTTCGAAATTTTTTTTTTTTTTTATTTTTTATTATCCAATTGTTTCAAAACAGTTCCCAATTTTAAAACCTCTATTCCTTTGTTTCGAAATGTTCACAAATTCTTAAAACTTCTATTCCTTTGTTTCAAATTTTTATCCCTTCGATGAAAAATGTTCTCCAATCTTCAAATTTTCATTCCTTTGGTTCAAACCTTTTTCCAATCCTCAAATTTTTATTCCTTCGTTTATCTTTTGAAAATTTTTTCTTCCTCAAGTTTTTTCGAAACTTTTTCCTCTGTTTTAAACTTTTTTTCGAAAATCACAAAGTCAGCAGTGAAGCGAAGCAGTAAATCCACCTTTTTTTCGTACCGGAAAAAAAATTCACCGAATTTTGGCAAAAGCACAAGAATAACGAAGTGATCCCGAGGAAAAATTGACAGTTTTCTTCTCCTAACGCTTGACAACTATTGACACACAAAAAATCTACCATAGAACAATTTCTTTTTTTTTTTTTTTTTTTTTTTTTTTTTAATTTTAATTAATCCAAATTGAAAAATTCGTTTTACTCTTTGGTTTTTTTATGTCAAAAATAAAAGAGTTGCCCTGCTTTTTTGTCCAGTCAGCTGAGAGCATTCCGTTCGATCTCAGGGACAGTTATTTCCGTAAGACTCAGAATTCTCCTTCATCCTCCACAATATCGAAATAACACAAAGTCTCCGTATTTCCCAATTGTCCGCGAAATTAATTAAATTAATGAAATTAATGAATTTAATAAAATTAACGAATTTAATAAAATTAACGAATTTAATAAAATTAATGAATTTTATAAAATTAATGAATTTAATAAATTTAATGAAATTAATGAATTTAATGAAATCAATCGAATGTCTCTGGGAAAAATTCAAATCAAGTACAACAATCGAATGGGAAAGATGTTGATGATCCTTTGGTAAATTCATTGATGAAAATGAACCAAAACCATTAACTTTTCCGATTATAAAAATTCACAGAAAAAAATACGAAACACCCAAAAACTTAAAACACAAAAACACCTGTTGTTAATCCCTTCTTTTTAATCATCACTTAAAATCCAAAACCGAAATTTGTCCGAAAAAAACTTTGTCACTTTTTTTTTGTCCGAAACATCGAGAGCACAAAATGTTGTTGTTATCATTACAAAGAGTGGGAAAAAAAACAAAATTTTCGAAATGAAAAAATATTTTCCCCCTTTTTTTTTGATAAATTGTTTAAAATTTGTTTGTTTTTCGAGGGGGTGAAACGGGGGGTTGAAAACAACACGACACTATATTATTTTTTTCCTTCGTATGTACATGTTTGTTGACTCAAGTTCAGTCGGATTACTACTGTGAAAATATGCGTGCGGAGGAGGCGAGTTCCTCGACGACCACGAAAAATGAAGGCAACCGCGAACAACCACCACCACCTCCACGATATGTGAATTTAAAGACAAAAGGCGCTTGCGTCGAAACGCCTCCTTCTCTCTCTCTCTCTTGCAACCCCACTTTTATTGTACTCTCACGGGCTATCAACCCTCCAGCCCGCACAACAATTTCTCTATATTAGAACTTTACACAAAAAAACCATAAACAACAATCACGATATAATAAATTAACAAATAACGATTAGAATAAAGCTTTTGTTCTTTTTTCCAGCGTTTTTTTTTTTTTTTTTTTTTTTTTTTTTTTTTTTTTTTTTTTTTTTTTTTTTTTTTTATTACTATGCTCAGTTATGAATAAATAACCCGATTTCGATTTTTTTTAAAACACGGATGTAGCGAAAAAATTCCTATAACATTTTCCGAAATTTTGACTTGTATTTAAAAGAAAAAATTTATTTTGTAATTCAATTTAAAAAAAAAAAAAAAAATTTTTTTTAAATTAAATTATTATTTTATTAAGTTTTAATTTAGATTTGGCAGTCGATAATTAATTTTAAAAAAGTGTCTTTTAAACTAAAAGAAATTTATAAAACTTAATAAAAAAAAAGTAGCTATCGAAAAATTAAACTTGACGACCAAAAAAACGTGTTTTAGACACTTTACAAAACTAACAAAAATTCCATTCTATTTTTCATTTTCCCAAATTTTGCCTAATTTTCATTAAAAATATTTACTTCTTTCTTATCTTACTGCAAATTGAATTCCTGCGCAACGAAATTTATAATTCATGAAAGAATTTAAATATTTCCAAAAATAATTAAAATTCTTGAAATAATTTTATAAACCTTTTTAAATAATTAATTTCTTTTGACTTTAATTTTATGCAAATTCTAATTTAAACAATTCAATTCCTGAGAAATTTTTATTATTCCTCCGAAAAGAATTGAATTCTTACGAAGATTTAGCAACAATTTTTTTTAAATTTAAAGAATTCTATTAAAATTTTTGAGAATAATTTAAATGTCTGTGTGGCATTCTAATAAATTTTTTAGAAAATAATTGATTTTCTAAAAAGCATTTTATTATTTATGAAAATAATTTAATTATTGCGGAAATATTTATTAAAATGTTTAAAAAGAATTGAATTTCAGTAAAAAATTTTGTTATTTTTGAAAATAATTGAATTCCTGAAAACGAGTTTATTAGAATTTTTTAAAATAATTGAATTTCTTCGAAGAATTTTGTTTCTTCTGAAAATAATTGAATTCTCAGGAGAAATTTTATAAAAAATAATTGAATATCAGAGAAGATTTTTATTATTTATGAAAATAATTGAATTTATGTGAAAAATTATATTTTTGGAAATAATTGAATTCTTCAAAAAAAGGTTTAAAAAAACATTTTTTAAATAATTGATTTTTTTTTGAGGAATTGAAATTAAATTTTAAAGAATAATTACATTTTCTGTAAAATTGTATGAAAAATAATTGAAATCCTGCGATTAATTTTATTATTTATGAAAATAATTTAATACTTGCTACGAATTTTATTAAAATTTTCAAAAATAATTGAATTGCTGAGAAGAATTTTACTATTTATCAAAATAATTGAATTATTGCGGAAATATATATTAAAATATTTAAAAAGAATTGAATTTCATTGAAAAATTTTGTTATTTTCGAAAATAATTGAATTCTTCATAAAAATTTGATTAAAGTTTTCAAAAATAATTGAATTTCTGAGAAATTTTTATTATTTATGAAAATAATTTAATTATGGTGAAAATTTTTGTTTTAATTTTTGAGAATAATTAAATTTCTGTGCAAAATTCTAATATTTTTGTAAATAATTGAATTCTTCAAAAAAGGTTTAAAAAACATTTTTTTAAATAATTTATTTTTTTAGGAATTAGAATAATTAAATTTTAAAGAATAATTACATTTTCTGTTAAATTGCTTGAAAAATAATTGAAATCCTGTAATAAATTTTATTATCTATGAAAATAATTGAATAGTTGCTAAGAATTTTATTAAAATTTTCAAAAATAATTGAATTCCTGAGAAGAATTTTATTTTTTATGAAAATAATTGAATTATTGTAAAAAATTTTATGGAAGTCTTTCAAAAAAATTGAATTTCTATGAAAAATTTTGTTGTTTTTGAAAATAATTAAATTTTTGATAAAATTTCATAAACATTGTTTTAAATAATTAATTTTTATAGAAATATAATAAATATTATGAAATTTCATTTTAAATAATTGAATTCCTAAAAACCATTTTCTTATTTATGAAAGTAATTGAATTGCAAACGATTTTATTAGAATTTTTTAAATAATTGGATTTCCAAGAAGAAATTTCTTACTTTAAAAATAATTGAATTCTTGTGATGAATATTGTTATTTATGAGAATAATTGAATTTTGACAAAAATTTTATAAAAATCCGAAAGAAAAATTGAACTATTACAAAAAAATTTAATTAAAATTGTACTTATAATAATTGATTTTCTTTCGAACAATTTTATTAAAATATTTGAAAATAATCGAAATCCTGCTATAAATTTTATTATTTATGAAAATAATTGACTAGTTGCAAAAAATTCTATTAAAATTTATGACATTCAATTACTTATAAAGTTTCAATTTTATAAAAATTTTTTCAATTTGAAATTTAATTATTTATAAAAATTTATAACTTTCCATTTGAACCTTATGAAATTCAATTATTTTTAAACATTGTAATAATAACTGTTAGAAAATTTGATTATTTCAGAAATTTTCCATTAAAATTAATAAAAATTTGCAATTTTAAAAAATTTCAATTTAAAACCTTTTGAAATTCAGTTACTTATAAAAATTGCTTGAATTTTAATTTGAATCGCTTTGAAATTCAATTATTTTTGAAGATTCTAATAAATCTTAGAATGTTTGATTTTTTTAAAAATTTTGAATTAAAATTCCTGAATTTTGCCGCTTGAGCGAAGCGAGTGTGACAATCGCACGAGTCGAAATTCCCCTATTTGTGCGAACTTGTAACACAAATAGCTATTCATTCTTCATAATCAGTCGACGTGTTGCGCAAAATATCGGCACTACTTTTTAAATCGTGCAAAAAATACAAAATACTTTTATAATAATATATCAAAGCGTAATTAGCATTAAATTTTTCTGTTTTTCACTCTCAGCCTTATAAGCAGTTTTACGTAGAACAGAGTAAAGTCATTTCATCCTCAAATCTCCATCAGTAAGTGAATTCAAATTCAACTTTTTGAGTTAGCTTTTTTTATCTCACATTTGCCTTATCGTCCCTACTGAAAATCCCTGTACAAGATCATGTACCCGAACACGCACATTCTCATGTGCAGGATCACGGATCCGTTCCTGTACAAGTTCTTGTGTATGATCAAGTGGCGGGAATTGGAACAGTGAAAACGTACATGAACTCGCACATGATCATGCACGAAAATTTTATTCGCACAAGAACTTGTACAAGTTCATGTACATAACCAAAAATTATTGAATTTAAAGGCACAGGAAATTGTGTGTGATCATGGACAAAATTTCTTCTTGTGAGAGAACGTGTGCAAGAACAGGCACATGTTCTTGTATAAATTAACGTGTAGTTTCTGCACTACATTCTTTCTAGTACATTTTCACGTGCAGGATCATGTGTGTAGTTTCGAAAAAGTAAAATAACCCTATAGCTGACCACATACAAGATCATGCATTATAATTTAGGGTCAACATTTAAAACGAAAAGTGAACTCGTACATGAACGTGTGCGAGTTTATCCTCAAGCAATTTTCCGGATTTTTCTAGTATATGAACCTATACAGTTTCTTGCACTTGATCTTATGTAATGAATTTTCCGAAAACAATTTCATGTACATGAACCCGAGCACTATAATATTAAGAATAAGAGATCTCGTGCAGGAACTGTTACAGGAACTTGTACAAGATCTTTTAAGTGTGATTTTGCAGGAAAACTCTAGGAAAGGAATATGCACAAGATCCTAAATATGTTTCTACACTGGATCTTGCATAATATCCAGTGCAGTAACATGTTTATTATCATTTTGCATGGTTTCTTAGAAACATTCTGAACATTATTGTTTAAAGTATAGATTTAATTATTACACACAATATAACTCGGTTTGACAAAAAGAAATAATTTTCTGACGGATTTGTATTGTTCTTACAATAATAATACATTAGGTACAAAAAAGATATTTACAAAACATATGAAATAACTTTAAATTTTTAATTTCTAAACTTTTCAAGAAAATACTATTTTAGTATTTAAATAGATTCAGAAATATATCTGAAATTTTCATTATGCACCGCACAGTATATTAAAAACAGAACTTTTATGCTTACTTTATTTAATACATATTTACGCAATAAAAGTTTTAAACGTGTTTTGAGATATATAAAAATACAAAAAGTAATAAAATATTTATTAAAAACTCGATATTCCAATTGCTATATAAGATAGCAGATAATTTCCAATTAATTTAGGTTTTTCCAATGTTAAAAACAGAATAATCTAATACGACAATAAATTTGGTACTGCAGAAATATAACAATTTTCGTTAGGAATATCAATGCAAACGCTGATTTTATGTATGTCATGAATGAAAATCGATGTTATTTCTGAATCTATTTCCTCGATAATCTGTAAAGTTCTATGATTTCTGGAAAACGCATTTTTTGTCCGTAAAACTTGTACTAACGCATATTCTTTGTTCAACTCTCTATCAACAATAAACTTAAAAATGTTTGCATAACTACCATTATGAAGAAGAACAAATGCATTATCAGATCGTTGATTGATTCTTTCTGATGACAAATAAAGACATCCATTTTTTACCATTTTAGAATAACAAACAGAATTTTCAGACAGTTCTAACTTTATCTTCCATGCGTCTTCCACAGCACTAATCATACCAAAGTATCTAGCTTTTTGAGTTTTTAATGTGTTTTGAACTTTTGCATGACCTAATGAATCGTAATAATGCTTCATTTCTGTTGAGCAATTGTCATAAACCGCTTTTTTTACAAATAAATGACTAAAATTGAAAGCGACATGTCGAGCAACCTGATGGTGGACGCCTTTAGCTGAATGAATTGTTTTTAATAATTGTCCATTTCCACTTTCAAATCCGTAACAAGAATGGGCGAAAAGCGGACCCCAATTAAAAACGCTTCGGGCTAAATGTAAAAGAATATGAACATTAAAGGTCATAGCTACACTAGAATACAGATTTTCAGTATCTGCAACAAACTTGTGCAGTAATTTATCTGCATGGTTCAGGTCATCAATTGTAATCCTTTCTTTTGATAGAATATAAAAAGCCTCAACAAGAAGGAGCCAATGCATTATATATTTCGAATCCAAAAATAATGAAATAATTGGTATGCTGTAATACAAAATCCAATTTTCCCATTCTCTGGCCTTCCAAAATTCTTTGTCATCCAGAGAACGGGAAAGGCGACCAACTTGGCAAGGAACTTTAATTTTTGTCATAATAGAATTTATTTCAATAAGTTTATCTTTAGTAAGATACGCAGAGGACACGCTTTTAGTACCAAACCAAATGTGGGTGAAAAGTTTACCCACATTGCTAACAATATGCATCGGATCAGGTACAAAGCCATCGATTATATCAAAATTATTTAGATTGATTAATTCGGATGGATGTTTAATACCGAAACATGGTTTATTTGGAGTTGCTATTTCCATGTGACGAAGCGTGTCTTGTACGGTTCGCCTACTAACAGGTGCATCTAGTAATGGATATTTTTGACTACCTCCATTTTTTGTTGTTGGATTCGACACCCATTGCCCAGGATGCAAACACCAAGGGCAGCCATATTTCCCATTGAATTGGCAAAAACCTTGCATTGTTGGCCTACAAATTGAGTCCACGCAACAACATAATGAATAAACTTTAACAGAAAGCACTTTTTCTTTTACTTTACATTTGACTCCTTCTGCAGACAACTTATTCATGTTTGCAACGAAGGGCTTTAAGAAGACATTCATATTAGGTTTACTTTTTCCAAACCATAAAGCGCAAAGAATTAATTCATTGGTTCTTACTTGATACGGCAACTCATTAATTTGTAAAAAAAGAGGCCATATTGAGTAAGCAGAGCTCTCGAATAATGGCGCACCATCTGTATTAAACGTAGTCGTTAAATATTGATGCCTGTCATTATCGTCTAAACTATTTACAAACGCTCGATACATTTGACCGTCATATATATCTTTAAACACATTATTTTCGTATCTTCGTCGATTCATAACATTATAGTAGTAATCGCTATTTGTTTCTACTAATTCCGAGATTTGTGAATTAATGTCAAAATAAACAAAGAAGTCATTGTAAGAAGAACTTTTAACTTGAACGTCTAAATCACAAAAAGTACATTTGATCGATTTGTCAGAACGTTTAAATATACCTATATAAGAAGAACATTGAGGACACATTCCGTGAAATGTTGCGTTACTTGACGGATTGAACAATGTATTAATTAAATATCGAGATTCGGGCAAAATGGGTGATGAAAACATAGAATTTATGAGCAAAAATAGTTGAGTGACGGCAGTAAGTGATAGAGAATGAGTTACTGCAAATTTCAAGAGTATCATTAAAAGTTCCCCTAAAGTTTTGTTGATCGGTTGGCTTATGATTTCGGAGAATTCATGATTGTTGATAAGCGTATTAAGTTTTTTGAAAGGTGAATTATTTTCTCCATCCTTATTGAAAAAAACATTACTGAAGTCATCTGTCATGTTCAAAGCCTCCTCCATTTCTTGTAAGTGTACATTACTGACCTAAAAATAGTTATCATTATTTAAAAAAAATAAAATTAATAGTGATGATAAATAAGGTATTACTAATAAACTATTTTAAGGAAAGAAGAAACATTTTTATGTTAATATATAATCTATATTTGTAGGTGACACTTATTTTAGAAAAAAATGGCGTTTTCTAAAATAGAAAAAAAACACTGAATTATATATTTTTAAAAATATTTTTCAATTTGTTAATCCTAAAATATGGTAAATGTACTACATAAAAAAGAACATTTAAACAAATTTAAGTAATTACAAAGAATATCAAAAGCGTTTTTATTAGTACGCCGCAGTTTTTTTTGGAAAAAATAATGTGTATTTAAATACTATTTTGCGAGTTTCTTCTTTTAAATAAGTAAATTTTACTAATAAATAATCATTTCTACTAATTTTTTAGTGAAATTTACTAATTTGAAAGCAAAAAGTCAGTAACTAATGCAAATTAGTAAATATTTTTACTAATTAAAATTTAGAGAGTGCTTATAAACAATTTTGTAATTTCTACATACAACAGTTATTCATAAATAACTTTAAATACAATTTATTGATAAAATAATAGAAATATAAAGAACATCGATTTAAGAAACATCAATCGAAATTGTTTTTAAATAATTGAATTCTTTTGGAAATTTCTATTAAGGTACTACTACACTTTAGAAGGCTCTTAAAAGACCAAAATTAAAAAAAAATTTCTTAGGTCTTTTATTATAAATATGAAAAAAACATTTTTGTCTATATTAGTGCATATTTGGAGAACAAAAATAATGGTTTGTTTTTAATTTTTATTTAATAGCATAATCTGCAGACAGCATTCAGATCGAAACTCCAAAAAGTTAGTTGTCCAATTGCGGACAGTTTATCTCAAGATTGACAAATCGGAAACAAAAAATTCAAACTGCTTTTTAAAAAGCAGAAAAGAAAAGCAGGAAGGTGTCTTGCATAGAAATCCCACCAATATTGAAAAATCGACTAAAATAAAGAAATAGCAGATGTTTCAATAATTTGTTTAAAAACACACTTGTTTTTCAGTATTTTTCTAATCTGCAAAAATGTTTTTTTTTAATTTTTTGACTATTTTCTGGTGAATTCACACACAGGACATGCTATCAAACAAAACGACTTATTATTTATTAAAATCGGTTCAGTAGATACAGAGATAAAGTGTCCGCAATTTGAAAAAACGTTATTTTGAGAAAAACGCGTTTAAACCTTATATGTATCGTTAGAGGCCATCCATAAATTACCTAAAATTCTTTTGCAAATTGAAACCCCTCCACTTTTTTTATGTCAGACACTGTTACATACATTAGCACTAATGCTTCTACTGGTCTTAACAAAAAGCTGGACCCCACCATCCCCTAAAAAACTTACTTAATTTGTAA